TATTCTTTCCTTGAGGTCTTTGTACGTGCTGTGCTTTTCTGCCAGAAATGGCTTCCTCCAGATCTTTCCATGCTCAGCCAATGCCTTTGGGTTGATCTTAGCTCAGATGTCCGCTTCTCAGATCTACCTCTTCTACTACCTTCGACATAAACACGATACTCTGCACTTTTGCTTGGTTCCTTTTCTCCATTTTAGTCATGCTGCCTATAATTATGTTATTTATTCTTTACTGTCTGTTTCCTCTCACCTACCTCTGGATAAATAAATCATTTGAATTCTTGCTGTGTTTATTCACGCTGCATCCCTGGGGTCTTATCTAAGTCAGACCCTGATAAGCACTTTCAAAAGGAATGGAAGAGTGAATTAATGCTAGGCCTGCCCCAAGGAGACTCTGCCTTTCCCAGCCTTACACCCCACACACAGGAGCACTGGAATGGGAGATGGTGTGGAGAGAGGGTGGGCACTGGTCTATATATTAAGGACCTGAATATGTAACTGCCCAATGGGTTCGCCTGGCCCACTGACTAGACAGAGCCAATTTATCAAGACGGAGAACTGCAATGGAGAAAGAGTAATTCATGCACAGCCAGCTGTGTCGGAGACTGGAGTTTTTTTTGCGGGGGGGGACGGAGTTTCACTCTTGTTACCCAGGCTGGAGTGCAATGGCGCGATCTCGGCTCACCGCAACCTCCGCCTCCTGGGTTCAGGCAATTCTTCTGCCTCAGCCTCCTGAGTAGCTGGGATTACAGGCACGCGCCACCATGCCCAGCTAATTTTTTGTAGTTTTAGTAGAGACGGGGTTTCACCGTGTTGACCAGGATGGTGTCGATCTCTTGACCTCGTGATCCACCCGCCTTGGCCTCCCAAAGTGCTAGGATTACAGGTTTGAGCCACCGCGCCCGGCCTGGAGTTTTATTATTATTATTATTTTCAGACAGAGTTTAATTCTTATTGCCCAGGCTGGAGCGCAGTGGTGCAATCTCGGCTCACCACAACTTCTGCCTCCTGGGTTCAAGCGATTCTCCTGCCTCCCAAGTTGCTGGGATTACAGGCATGCACCATAAAGCCCGGCTAATTTTGTATTTTTAGTAGAGACAGGATTTCTCCATGTTGGTCAGGCTGGTCTCGAACTCCTGACCTCAGGTGATATGCCCACCTCAGCCTCCCAAAGTGCTGGGATTACAGATATGAGCCACCGCGCCCGGCCTCAGAGTTTTATTATTACTCAAATCAGTCTCTGGAGCATTCAGGGATCAGAATTTTTAAAGATAATTTAGCAGGTAGGGGCGCAGGAAGTGGGGAGTGCTGATTGGTCAAGTTGGAGATGGAATCACACGGGTATCAAAGTGAGGTTTTCTTGCTGTCTTCTGTACCTGGCTGGGATGGAAGAACTGATTGAGCCAGATTACTGGTCTGGGTGGTGTCAGCTGATCCATCAAGTGCAGGGTCTGCAAAATATCTCAAACACTGATCTTAGGTTTTACAATAGTGCTCCCCAGGAGCAATTTGGGGAGGTTCAGACTCTTGCAGCCAAAGGCTGCATGACCCCGCTAAACTTTAATTCTAATTCATAGCTAATTTGTTAGTCCTACAAAGGCAGACTGGTCCCCAGGCAAGAAGGGGGTCTTGTGGGAAAGGGTTATTATCAATTTTGTTTCAGAGTCAAATCATAAACTAAATTCATTCCCAAGGTTAGTTCGGCCTATGCCCAGGAATGGACAAGGACAGTTTAAAGGTTAGAAGCAAGATGGAATCAGTTAGTTTTGATCTCTTTCATTGTCATAATTTCCTCAGTTGTAATTTTTGCAAAGGCAGTTTCAAATGATTGGTGCCTTTTGAGCCTTTATTCAGCAGCCACTGTAGGTCCTGAAGCCACAGGCAGAGAACAAGAACAGGAGCTGGGCCAGGCTTCCCAGCAATTCTGCTGGTGTGAGGGGCCTTCTGGGCCTGACCTTGACCTGTAGGATTCTTACCCTGCCCCAACCTATAGCTGCCCTGTTTTATTTTTCTCCACAGCGCTTACCATTTAACACCATGTGGCACTCATTTTATTCAGTCAACTGGTCTATCTGGAGCTTAATTGGTATTTGAGTTGCTCAGGATACATCCATGAATAAAAGGGAGACTCTCACTTCACAGACCTCTCTTTCTTGTGGGAGAAGCCAGGCAATGCCATATAAGGATAATAAGCGTTTACTTTAAAAAGTGCAAAAAGCCAAATACAATGGCTCACACCTGTAATCCCAGCAGTTTAGGAGGTGAAGCAGGAGGACTGCCTGAGCTCAGAACTTTGAGACCAGCCTGGGCAACATAGCAAGGCCTTGTCTCTACTAATAATTTTAAAAAGTTGAGGACCAGGCATGGTGGCTCTTGGCTGTAGTCCCAGAACTTTGGGAAGCTGAGGTGGGCAGATCACTGGAGGTCAGGAGTTTGAGACCAGCCTGGTCAACATGGTGAAGAAACTGCGTCTCTACTAAAAATACAATTAGCCGGTTGTGGTGGTGTGTGCCTATAATCCCAGCTACTTGGGAGGCTGAGGCAGGAGAATCGCTTGAACCTGAGAGGTGGAAGTTGCAGTGAGCTGAGATCATGCCACTGCACTCCAGCCTGGGGGACAAAGTAAAACTGTATCTCAAAAAAATTAAAAAATCACCAGGCATGTGGTCATGTGCACCTGTAGTCCTAGCTACTTAGGAGTCTGGGACTTTGAGGTTGCAGTGAGCTATGATCGTGCACTCTAGCCTGGGTGACAGGGCTAGACCCTGTCTCAAAAAAAAAAAGTGTATGAGAAGGTGGTAGCTGCTATGAAGCGCCTGGGTGTGGTGCCTCAGGCCTGTTATCCCAGCACTTTGGGAGGCTGAGGAGGGTGGATCAATTGAGGTCTGGAGTTCAAGACCAGCCTGGCCTGGCCAACATGGTGAAACCCCATCTCTACTGAAAAATAGAAAAATTAGCCGGTCATGGTGGCGCACACCTATAATCTCAGCTACTCGGGAGGCTGAGGCATGAGAATTGCTTGAGCCCTGAAGGCGGAGGTTGCAGTGAGCCAAGATTGTGCCATTGCACTCCAGTTGGGGTGACAGAATGAGACTCTGTCTTAAAAAAAAAAAAATATGAGAATGTGGTAACTGCTACAGAAAAACAGAGCCAGGGTAAGGGGATAAAGGTGATCCTGAGTGCTGGGGGCAGGGTGGGGCAGGTTACAGTCAGAAATTAGGGGCTCTGAGAGTGCTGGGGTGCAGCCCTATGGAAATCTGTGCAATCTAGGCATGGGAACAAGCGTTGCTCATACACTGAGCAGGAGAGGGCATGAGGTGTGATGTGTGAGGGACACTGAGAGACTGAGTTGGCTGGGGAGATACAGTCAGAAGGGTAATTGGGATTCATGAGGGTCCTGCTGCCTCTGGTTTTTCCTTGGGGAGGAGGTACTTCAGGGTTCTAAGCAAGGAATGGGAAGATCTGACTCATGTATTCAAAGGCTGATGTGTGCAGAATGGACTGAAGGCATCAGGAGCAGCAACAGGAGACCAGGAGGCAGCTGTACATTTGCCCTCAGGAGAGATGGTGGTAGTTTGGACTCAGTGGAAGCTATGGACATAGCAAGAAGTGATTTCATTCTGGGCAGATGATGCTGATGGGGGCAGATGATGCTGATGGAGGCAGTGGAACTTTTTGATGCACTGGATATAGCTGGGAAAGAGAGTAGTCAGGGGGTACTTTGAGGTGTTTGGCCTGAGCAATAAGAAGGGTTGAGGTGCTATCATTCAATCTGGGGGAAGTGGGGTGAAGTAGGTTTGGGGTATGAGCCAGGGTTAGGGGACACAAATTGCGTTTGAGATGCCAATGACTGGGAGTCAGAGTGCAGATGTCTGGTTGACAGTGGGACTAGTGAATCTGCCACTCAGGATAGGTCTAGACTTGACAAACATTTTTATGAGTGATTGACATGTAGGTGGCATTTGAAATGATGAGCCTGGATGAGATTTTGCAAGAGTGAGTATAGACAAAGAGAAAATGCACAGATGAGAAACTGGTGAGATTGGAGGAAAGCAGGAGGACATGGAGCCCTGGAAACCACATGCTAAGGTGAGAGCAGCTGCTCATAGGAAGTCTCTCCTGCCCACTGTTATAAGGTCAGGGATATTTATTTATTTTCCTTTTTTGTTCACTGCTGTATTTCCAGTACAGAGTGTAAGTGCTTAATAAATACCTGTTGAATTAAAGAGTGTATGAGTGAATTGACACCTTTGCAAATGCCCAGTACACAGGGCTGCAACATTGGCCTCCTTTACAGAAAGAGCAGAGATCAGGTAGGAGGCTCTAACCCTCTCCCTTGCCTTTCACAGCTACGCTGACATTCGGTCAGGTGAGAGCCCTTCTGTCCAACACAGCCCCAAGAAAAATGAGCCTCAGACAAGCCCTGTAGTATGGAGCTTGGTGGGAGCTGGGTTGGGCACTGGGTCATCCACCTGTTCCCAGAAAACTCTATGGCCACTTTCTGTCTACCCCTCCATATCTAATAATCTGGCTGTATATATAACCATTTCTTTGTCCACCGTCTACAGTCACTCTTTTGTCCATCTTTCTGTCTATTCACATCCAATCTTCTGTCCATCTGCTAGAGTGACCAGCTTCCCAGTTTGCAGCGGACTGTTTCGGTGTTAGCACTGAAATTCCTCCATCCTGAGAAATCGCTTAGTACGGTCAAACCAGGACTGTTGGTCAATCCATCTATTTCCCAGGTATCCTGCTGTCCATCGGCCCCCGGCTCTTCGGTCCACTCAACCGCCCATCTGACCTCCTGGCCACCCTAGCGACTGAGGACAAGGCTCCGCCCCCTCTGGTCCCGCCCCCAGTCCCCGCCTTTTACGGAAGCTGCTGCAGCGAATCCTGGCACCCTAGCAACAGCGCCTTTCAGGCTGTCCAGTCCGCGTGCGCGGCTCGTAGGACGAGCCAATAGCGAGGAGCATCGGGAGCGAGGTGTAGGGGGCGGGGCTCGGCCTGTCCGCAGCCATTTTGGTGCGAGAGAAACAATAGGACTGAAGCGGCGGGGAACCGGGCTGAGGCAGCAGGTAACGCCCGCGTTGTTGGGCCTATGGCCCTAGTTCCCCAGGAGCTTTGAGGGAGATTTTTTCCGGGCTACTGGGAGACGTGGTCTCTGATCATTGGCGTCTTCTAGGCTATTTGGTAAGGACGTCTCCCGTGGTCATTGTGGGGGAAATCTCCCGGGGTCCCTGTGGATTCGATTTTCCTGGGTCATTTGGGAGGAGCCTTGTTTCTTCCGATCAATGGAGAGAGATTTCCCTGGTTTTGGGGGTGCAGAATCCTGCTTGGTCGTTGGAGGGGTCTCCTGGGTTTTGCGGGGGCAGGATCTTTCCGGGTCATTGAGGAGATCTTCCCGGGTCTTAGGAAGCCCAAGATCTACAGTGTCATTGCGGGGTCTCCCCTGGTCATTGGTGGCCACGATCTCCCCGGATATTTGGCGGGGGGAGAGGGGTCTTCTTCCCTGATCTTTGGATTAGGGACTCAGCCCAGCGCCTCGGGTCCTGTTACCTGGGGTCGGCAGATGTGCAGCCATTTTGAGTGTTGAATGCCATTTGGGCCCATCAGATGGTGTTCGATGAGAGAATCTACACACTTAACCTTATTATGGAAAAAAAAAAGCCTTAAAATGGATCAGAGGACACCTTTATAATGATATTTCCACTCTTTGCATTTAATCACAGACTGCTTTTGTCTTTTGCATCCTAATGGCTTATTTTATTTTAGGATTGTATTCGGTCTAATATCAAGAAAGCCACACTAGCAGAAAAATGAGTGAAAATAAAATGTGGAAACCAGTAAAATCTAGTGCGCGTCAATACCAGGGGAAGTAGAACTAGTTACTGCTTCGAATTAAGCATTTCGGTAGCACATTGTACATAGAACAATAAATCATCTTGAATAGTTTTAAGAAAAAGTACTGAAACTTTGGAACGTGGTAATAAAAATGTTGCAGATCATCAGTTCTGTGATATTTTTAATAAAGGACCATGATTACAATAATTTTGTTTAATTCTAGTGTTTAAACTGTTTGCTGTATTTGCAATTGTAGCCAGGTAACATTTTAAGTGAACTAAGATGCTTATTTGCATAGGTTGTTGCTGTGGGGTTTGTATAATTGCATCCTGTAACTTGGGTGTTAAGTTTAAGAAGAAGCTTCAGGGTGTTGTTTTAACTTGAGCCAATATCAGAGTTAGGTTCAAATGAATACCTTATCATATGTGACATAATAGGCCAGTTGATGGCCTAGTAACTTTTCTTTTTGAGAAAAGATTAACTATTAACTGTCATTTTTTTTATTTTTAAAAATTTTTATTTTCTGTGGTCTTGTCTGACATTGTCATTTCGATAGATTTACCTGCTTTGTGACTTTAGAATTCACAAGGATTGTTAGAAATCATATGGAGAATCACTTGAACCCAGGAGTTCAAGATCAACCTGGGCAACATAGCAACACCCTATCTCTACAAAAAAAAAAAAAAGCAGAGAGAGAAATCAAATGGATAAGAACAAGGACTACAGCTGATACAATTGTAGAAACCAGGTTTTTTCGTTTGTTTGTTTGGTTCTTTTTTTTATGCAGAGCCTGGGTGGGGAGGGAGCAAGGAGGAAGAGGGAGATCTAGAAACTAGTGTAACAAATGTGATAGACTTCTTTTGTGCTTCATAGCTTCAGAAGTAAGACAGATACACTGTGTGCCAGCCCTGTCTCTGAGCAGTGAGATGTGTGGGGAAGGAATGAGCAACCACTGACTGATGAACCTTTGCTAGTCTCCCTTCTAAGAGGGATGGCAGAGCCTTCTGTTAGCTCCTGAGATGTCACTGGTATCTAGGCAACAGGGATGAGCCCGAACCTCCCTGAGGCCAGCTTGCTGAGGTGAAAATTTTCCATTGTTAGGCTCATGAAGAGGATGCATTGGGGAAGAATTTTCCCTTTAACCGAAGTTATTTTCCCTAGTGGGATAA